GTGTGTGTGTGTGTTTAGACGAGATAGGCAGAGGGCGGAGGAAACTGAGACGGAGGTAAGTGTGCATGTGCACATGTGATTGGAGAGTGTGCGTGCGAATGCAAACAAACTGTTTTTTAGATGTTTTTGGCTCGTTCTTGTTCTGTGTGTTTTTTGGCGTAGTTACGGCTGACCTCAACCCTGTTCTGTTCTGTTGAGCCATTAAAACAATGGAATGTTGACAATGTCTCCTGCCTCATTCTTTCGTCCAGCTGGACTTTACAATATATTTATTTTCTTCATTATATTTGGAGAACCATTTCAAATTTTGATGTGAGCATAAATGTGCTGAAAATGGGTCATTGGTCATTTTTTGAAACTATTTGATATATCAATGTAAAATTTCACATGTACAATTTTATATATCAACAGCTAATAAGAAAAATATGTATTAGCAAATCAGATATGGCTGCGCAGAAGACCCCTGGTGATTTGAGATGGAATAACCCAAAGTAAATCTTGAGTATTAGTTTTTAAATTTACATCAGAGCAAAGACACTAATATTCAACTTAATGCAGTTATTGTGATGTGACACATTTCTGTATCACATGACATTTAAGTGATACTGCACTAACTTCTGTTGTATTCAAAAAGCAGAAATTATATCCTGGAAACTCCTATCTTGACTCTATGTGCTGAGAAAAGGCAGTCAAGATTTTTTTTTTTGACTCGTCAGATAAACAGAACCACACTTTAACCTCATCTGCTGCAACTAGAACTTCCACAGTCCCTCTGGAACTTACCTACGAAGCCAACCTAAACTAAACTAAAAGGTTGAGTTTACTTGTACTGTGAGCAGGTCCTGAAGCAAGCACACAGATTCACTTATCATACGACTAACAGCTAAATGTTAGAGGAATGTGGGGAAATTCACTTACAGTGTTGAAGCTGTAGCAGGAATTTTAAGTCATCATAACTCAACATGCTGTTTCTCTCACTTGTTCCGTCTCTTCCTGCTCCTCCCATTTTATTGGAGCAGTGCAACAACGTCTCTGCTGCCTTGTTGCTATTTTTTCCCTGTGTTTTGCCTCTCAGGCTCCATACATATGCCTCAAATTAAAGCTGTACACTGCTACCAAAAAATATTTTAAAAAGATACTGCGGAACAACTGTGAGAATGTGGCAGCAAGCGTGCCAGAAACACTGGAATACAGCCAAGAACAGCAAATATTTACTTTTTCATGTTGCCGTACGTAGAAGGTCTCTTGGGGTCCAAGAAACGTGCAAAATATTCGTGGGTATTCATTGTAGACTTTTATACTGTGTTGAATAAATGTTCTGAGGTGCACTTTGAGGCGCTTTGTGTCTTCACACTGTTTCTAGATGGCCAGACTGCTTGCACTTGGACACTGTAGCTGAAACTCAAACACGACTCAGAGATAAGACAGAAAAGCACCAGGCTCTTTTTAGTCAATGTGGAAATAGCCTTTATAAGGAATCTATGATGTTAAGAGTTAATAGTTTGTGCACTAACGGTACTACAGAGGCTTACATGGGATTCCTGTTTGTTTTGTTGTCCTGCAGTGTAGAAAGCACTGCATTTGACTAACCTCCCAAGTTTTCTAAATTAGTTTATTTTATGTGCTACTATGCAGAAGTTCAAGGTGGTATAATTCTGCTTTACAGTCGGCTGTGACCTCCACAGTGAGGGGATCCGGATCCTGTTATGCTGTGGTGGGCATTTCGCCGGCTCGGTTTGGGTCCACTTGTCCTCTTTAGAGGGAAAGACTGCTGCAGATCAATACAAACTCATTCTGGTGGGGATCACCTTCATCCTATGATGAAACATTTCTATCCTGATGGCCTCCTCCAGGATGACAAAGCCCCCCATCCACAGGGCACTGAATGGTTAAAGTGAAGCGAATCGTACACTATGGTGTTCACAGCCACCAGATCTCAACCAAGCTGAACACTTACACAACATTTCAAACCAATATGTGCACGGCATCATCAAAACACCAAATGAGGGAAGATGTTTTGGAAGAAAAGCTGCAGTTTTTAGTGTTTGCCACACACAGCTGATGATCTAAAAACACTGATTTATGCAGCTTAACATCCCAGTGACCTTAGATGAGGAAGTAAAACTGTCCTAATAGAGAGTTACGTTTGTGATAAGAGGGAAGAAAAAGACCTTTTACTGCTGCTGTACCTTAACCCTGATGACCATCGGAGGATAAAACACATCTTACAATCATATTTTTACACATTTATTTTGATACTCAACTGATTAAACTTACAGTATAATTTTAAGAGTAACATTCAATATGCTTAAAACAAAATCATACAAAAAAACTGTAAAGCTTGCATATTCCATTATGTGGTTTTTTTTCTTCTTCTTGTTTTTGCAACGCCATTCACTTAAAGAATAGAAGCACTTTTAGACTTCAGAGTTCGTTAGGTTTTTCTTAAAAAGAATTTGGCAAACACCCTTTTTTATTTATGTTGAATGTCATGCTTTTGCAAGCTGCAGTAACATTTGATTTTAAGTGCAAAGATCCGTTCAGAACAGGTAGTGGCATCGCAGTCCTCGTTTTATGTACATTTTGTAGCTTGTCAACATTCAGTATTTTCAAAGAACAGAATGACAGACTCAACTTGAGCAGATATATTTACACATACATTACGTTTCCTTCGCTTTCGGAGGAACAGATTATGCCCTCTTAGCAGATATATTCATTTGAGGCCACTAACTTCAGTTGAGATGAGCCTTTTTAGTAAAGAAAAACGTTAAATTATGTCACTAGCCCAACAACTGTGGTTATATTTGTAAGTAAGGTTAATTCCCTGACATCGCTTCAACACAGGTCCTTTGCATTAAATCGATAAAGAGAGCTTCTAACTACTTTGCCACTTGTAGTACCTCTGATCTAAAAGTTGTATCTAAATGGGGATTTTCTATTCGTGTGTGTTTGTCTAAGGTGGCATCAGCTATATCCAGTCCAGAATATTTCACCTCCCAAAACAACAAACCAGTTAATCTTTTCTTTTTCTTTTTCTTTTTTTTAACCATACGCAGTATAATCTATAGCACCTAAGGTAACATGTTCCACTCAACAACTACACTCTAAGATCTCAGCTATTATAATTAAAGGTTTGTGCTTTCAAGACATTCCCTGTATGGAAAAAGAGAGGGGGTGTGATGCTCCATCACTGCCAGAAGGAGGCACTGTAGGCCCATCCCAACACAAAACCCCAGCGCTGATAAGGCAACATACTGTACATTACCACAGGGTATGAGGACACCAGGTAAGTGGCAAACGCACCTGCTATATCCTCAAATGAGAGTAAAACTAAACTAGTTCCTTCCTCTCGGGTCCTGGCGGATTATTTTGGGCCGTATAAAACATATTCGCATGGGGATATTAAACAGAAAATCCAAATTGATCAAATTACGATTCTAATTTTCCACCTTCAGGAATGTCAGCTGGAGTTTTACCAGAATACTAGCAGTCTTTGTGAAACTGTAATACCTGCGAAAGTCTGAGAACCCATGAGGACAGGTAATAGGACAAGGCCATTGAGAAACAGTCAAGACACTACTTGACCCGATGCTAATTTATGAGAGAAAACTATGTAGGAGTTAATATTGAACAGTTCGTAAAGTCTGGTCCTTTCGTTTCAGTGGAAGACGTTTGATTGCAGGAGGGACAATAAGGCGCAACCCCTCACAAGCTCAGATCAATGATGATGTGCTCAAAGATCTGCGTGTTTCCCTTGAAGCTAGAAGAAAAAATGAAGTCCCTGCGGTCGGTGGAAACCACAGTGAAGGAGCGCGGTGCTTGGATGTACACCTCCTTGAAGCGGTCGAAGAGTTTCTTGTCGTCATCCCACAGGTAGATTTGTGAGAAGGTGTAATCGCTCCCCAGAGCCAGGTAGTAACGCTCTTTGAAGGAGAACGGCTGGAGGATCATGGAGCCCCGCGAGGGCAAAGCCTGGATCTCTGCAAACTGTTTGGCGCCCCAGCGCAGAACTTTGGAGTCGCCGATATAGCGCGTCATCGCCAGGTAGAGTTCCTCCTTGATGCGGAAGTGTTTCACAGCTACTACATCCTCCATGTTGGGGATCTCGCCCTGCAGGACAAACTTCTGGTTGCTCCGGCTCCACTGGTAAATCACAGGTACCTGTGAGCGGCTTGCCAAAATGAGGTGGGCCTTCCCGTCCAAGTCCAAGAACTCTGCATCTGTGTCGCGGTACCACTCATGCAGTGATTGGTATGAATAAAAGCCGCTATCGTTCCACTTGTAGAGGGTGGACAGGCCCGCTTTGGAACTGTCGGCAATCACAAAGAACCAGTCGGGGCCGATTTGGAACGCCTCGATGTCATTGGGCTTGGAGATCTTGGACACCTCAATGGCCTGGAACTTACTGAACCTGCTCTGGTCCTCGTCAAACTTGTAAATGTGGGAGCCGCCAAAGAGTTGCGCCACAATGACAAACACCTCGTTCTCGATGACCACTGACTTGCACCCCACAATGGACTGACCTGGAGGGCAGAACAGACCAATGACGTGAGGGTGAAGCTCAACTATGGCATTCTGGGCATGTTTGTTTGGAAGTCGCCTTACCTGTGATATTGTCATAAGTCCTGAAGTTCATTTCTATGTGATCCCACTGGAAAACCATACAGCTCTCTGCGCTGGGAGCAGCAATAGTCACATAGACATCATTCTTATAGCTGAATGTGTCAACAGACAAAGACTCGGAAGCAACAGACTGGTGGAGGACGAAATCTGCAGAGAGGTACATCAGGATTGTTTACAAGCTGAAAAAACAATCAAGCCACAGTAAAAGAATAACCTCTACACGTCTTAGAACGACCCAGCTGAGGTGCTTGATACTGACGCCAGTTAGATTTGAGATGAGGCCAGCTGGCTCAGGCGTTTCTCACCCGTTGAGATGCACTCATTGTGCAGGCTGGTCATATCATTGAGGCGCTTGTCCTTCATGTCCTCCGGTCCAGCACATACGACATCCGACACTGTGGCATTAGTGTTCTTCAACCACGTCATGAGCCACTTGGCTCTGCAGTCGCACTCAAAGGCGTTCCCTCGCAGGTCCCTGCAGGAAACGAGTGCAGTTTGTCATTGCCGACAAAAAAGAGTGGACAAACTGAAATGCATCTTGGAATAAAAGAATAGGAAGAAGATAGGGTTTGTGTTGTAAATGAGCGCAAACTTACAGCTCTATCAGTGAGTCCAGGTCAATGAAGAGGTCCCTGGGCAAGGCTTTAATGTTGTTGTTTGCCAAAGACCTAGAAACAACCACGACGAATGAACACGGCAAATGGTGGCCAGTGAGATATTCACAATCACCGCAAGAAAATGGAAAATTCTGTGCAGAAGTAAAAGTCATATTTATTTAGCAGGCCTTGGAACATACAAGTGAGTCAAATCCCTGAGTCCTCTGAAGGCATATTTCGATGCAATCTCTATCTTATTACTCTCAATGAACCTGTGGATAGAAAAAACAGAGAATTTTATGATCAACTTGACATTTCTCCAACAAGGAATGCACAAAAAGTGACCGTCTAGAATTGACAACTAACTTGCATATGTTAACACATAAAAGATATCCCACAATTTTAGCATTTATAGTTTAATCAAAGGGTTTTTTTAATATGAATAATATTGCACAGCAATCCTATGCCTCCCCCAAAAGACAAAGAACAGCCATACGCATACTATGAATATAATTAGTGCCTGTTCTAGTCACTTGGGAGGAAACATGATCGAGTCACCCTCTGCTGCCACACATAGTTTTGTAGCTTTGGTTCCATGATTTTGGGGGAAACGTTTAGTTTATCTCCTTAATTCGAAGGTTGTGGTCGGGATTTGTGCAAACACTGCAGAGATGAGTGAAGAGATTCTGTTCTGGTAGAAATGGAACCACTAGAGGGCATTAGGTTGATGCTTCCCGGCCACACTCACTTTCTGAAAGTGCCAACATCCAACCACATAACCTCACAGCCATAACAACATCCCCCGGAGACCATTTCATTGTGTGAGATTTAAATGCAATGCCGTATGGCCGCAGTCTTTGTACTGCTTTCATTAGAAACAGAGGAACTTACAGGTACTCCAGATGTGAAAGGCCTGAGAATGCATCGTCCCTTATAGTTGTGAGAGAGTTGGAATTTAAAAGCCTGCAGAGGAGAGCAACAAATACATTAACGGGGCTCCACAATGCACCATTTTATGCTTCCGTCTGGAAAAAACAACAACAACACGATCAGGTCGGGGACCAACATGGAGCCAAACCCAACTCTCAAAGCCAATACCGGCGCAATCTAGAGTGAAATAAGTTATTATTGAGCACATTTTGTGGCCTCTGTCGTCACCTCGACTCACTGTTTTACTAGTAAAAGCCGTGTTCGGATCAATGCCACTGGAATTAAGCAGTGTTAAGCTGCTATCTTGTGAAAATTTCATCGAGACTGCTGGAACAAAAGGGCCAAAATGTGCATGTAACTGCAAACATTGTGTGCTGTGAGTCCGGTTAAACGCTCTGCCACGCCTTTGTTTATGCTGACCTCACAGCCGTCACCAGTGGAGTAACAAAGCGGATTGATGGCCTCTGGTAAGTACAGTGTGGCATGAGGCAGCGCTGAAAGCTCAGGACTACATTTCCATTATTTATCTCCAGGGGTCCAACCCCCTTTTTTAAAAGCCTTCCCTCCTCAATAGCTTCAAAATGCACCAACGGACTTCGGAGACGCAGCTTCGTTCAAGTCAACCAAAAGTTGAACATGCATGAAAAGCCTCAATCAGTCTTTGTGTTATTCACTCTTGTTATTTTATGCACCTTGTGTTGTGTGAGAGCCACATTTCCTCCACTGTTGGTCCCCGCAGACTGATGCATGTGTCATTTCAAGCAGCAAAGACATGTTTAAGTTTAAAAAAAGTCAACAATCTGGACTAAATCTACCTGCACGGAGCCTCTGCTGCAACATTAACACACACATATCAAATCTTAGTGTTTCTCTTACAGGAGCTGGAGAGATGGCATGTGAGCAAACATCGCCTCTTTGACCTCAGTGAAAGTCCCATTGACGATACTCCTGAGAGGATGAAGCAGAGAAAATAAAAAATGCTGTCAAAGTGATCAATCTGGGGGTCGGAGCACAGGATGAAGCCTGCACACAACCACAGCTCTGATTCAGAGGGTTGTGCACTCGGAGCAACTGGAGGGAAACTTAATAAGCTGCATATCATACATGCACACACTGTGTATCATGTCCAGTTAAAGAAATACAAAGATGATGCATGATGTCTACTCACAAGGAATTGATGTCGTTGGGGGTAATCCTGGGGATGTAGGAGTACCCGACGCAGATGATAGACTCCTTGGAGCAGCTGCATGCTGAAGGACATCGGAAAGGCTTTTTCAGATGAGCCGGTGGACACAAGCAGCACAGCGACACAGAAAACAATGCCCAGATCTTGAGAGTTGGCAGCATCTTTCTTGCCGGGCTCGCATGTGTGAGGGTTTTTTTTTTTTTTTTCCTTTCTTCTTTTCTTTTTTTTCTGCCGAGAGCACCGATCGAGTCAGATGGCACCAGCGCCGTTTCCACCCTGCACCATGAAATGCTGCACTGGCTGCCTGACATCAGCAAATCAGCTGCAGCTCCCCTCCGTCCACTTTAATTATTTATTAAGTCAGGGCTCCCGGTCGGATAACTGTTGGTTAAACAGCCACGCACCATACGTTGAAAAAAAATAAAAAATAATAATTAAAAAAAATAAAATAAAAATAAATCCGACGTTATTGCGCAGCCGTTTTTGGTTTCACATGTCAAATGTTGCGGCTATTTTTAAACACTGATCGCAACACAATTTCACATTATTATTATTATTATTATTACACCCACATGCAGCACACAACACATAGTCAGGGATGCATTTGTAGATTTTTTTACAAAAATTTCCAAATGTGCATTTCGGTGCCGGTTTTGACATGATGTGAAATCCTTACAATTTGCGGCTCATTTACAATCAAGCGCATCACCTTAAAGTCTCTGTAAGCGTTTCACTGAGGTGTGTGGGGTTTATGTCATATTCCAGGGGGCATTTTGACACACTGGGAGCTGTAGATTAGCCCTCCTTCCTATAGAAGCTTGAGAGGCGCAGAACTGCAGCACCAAGGACAGCGCCTCGGTGGCAGCCGCTGCACGCGCAGAACGCAGAGCCCACGGACAGGTTGGTCAAGTTATGAGGACAAGAAAACACTGGGTCCTGTTTGAATGTGCTGAAGTGTCTGTTTAAAAAAAAATAAAAAAGAATAAAAAATTTTAAAAAAATAAAAATAAATTGAAACGTTTTTATCTGTATCTATGCATTTTGTTTGTTTTTTTAAACAATTTACAAATATTTTAGAGATTTTACTTGTTTCTGGTAAAATCAGAGAAAAAAAAAGTACAAATTTACGTGTTGACTGTGAAAACAAATAGGCCAAAATTCTAAAAATCTGTATGAAAAGTAATTATTTTTCTTTTACACAATTTTTACTGTATTTAAATCACAATTTTTTTTTAAATTAAAAAAAATTCTTGCTTCTTGCCATTTGTATTTTAAAAAAATAATAAAAATGGATATTAGGGATTGAAAATCGTCAAATTCTAAAATTTCCTCCAGATTTTATTGTTTTGTTAAATGACAGATGATAAAAATCACAGAAAATATTGTTAATTTAGACATTGACTTTAAAAAAGAACATTAAAAATCTGTATTTTTGCATCTCATATTTTACTCTTTTAATGACATTTGTCTGTAATTGTTTTTGTTTTTTAACCATATCTAAATAACCAAAAAAAAAGAGCCTTTTTCTTCCCTTTTTAAATTAAAGATACAAAAACTGTGAATATGCCCACATAAAGTATTATTTAAATGGTAATGTGTTCTTTTCCAACATCTGACTCTTAAATTGCACCATTTTTACTAGATTTGAATAAAAAAATATGATCTTACATATTTGCCATTTTAACAGACAAAACATGTGCATGTGTACAATAAGGACTGAAAAAAAAGTTTTATTTTTAAGTTATTTTCAATGATAGATTTATCCTATTTTGTTAAATTGGATTTTTTTTTTTAATGGCTAAATCATGAAAAAAAAAAAGTTTTTATTTCCATACCAACTGCATTTAAAAAGAAGATGTTAATAATTTCCACATCAAAAATCTGTATTGTTAAATCTAGTAATTCATCTTTTCACCATGTGATTGTAAAATCACGCTATAGTTTTTACTGTATTTAGTTTATTCCTCAGGAGGACCTCAGAGTTCTGATGCTCATTCACATTTTATATTATTGCAAAACTGGTCGGCCAAACCTGGACATTTAATAAGTTTAGTGAACACGGAAGCATCTGATCACGAACAGATGAATTACATGTAAATGAACGATAACTTAAGAGCTTACAATGACTCTTACTTCCACACAGAAGAATCAAAAACAGAGCGGTTTGGCATCACTGGTGTAGACATGATTGGTGCAGACCAAAGACAGAAGCAGCTGTGACGTGGGAATAATACTGCCGCCACCATGCTGGATGGTAGCGATGATGTTCTTGGGGTTAAAGGCCTCTTCTTTTTTAAACATATTTCTGGATGATGATAGGTTGTTTTATTCCTGATCGTGGCAGCAACACAACTGTGCCATGTACTTTGTCTTGACTAACAAATGCCTGTACAGATGATTTTGGGATCTATAGCTGCTTTGAAATGGCTCCAAGTGACTCAGCTGCTTTTTCAGATATTTCTTGAGCTCCTGAGACTAAACACTGAAGCGTTTCTGGTTGAGTCTCATGTATCAAATGTGAACTATTTAAATGGGCTCCGAGGAGTCACCAGCTGGAGTCACTCATAAGAAGCCAAGAAAATTTGCTAAGCGATCATTCAAGTTGCTGCGTGTATATTGTTGACCCAGCAGATTTAGTCGTATTTGCACAAGACCTTTGATAAACCTATGAGAACGGGTGATTCAGTGAGTCATTAGGAGCTCAAGACTGCCAGGACATACATGGTCTTTATAGGGCAGGTAAACTTCTGTAGTTTGGGTTTGCTTCGCTGCTTCAAGAACTAAAACTACAAATTCTGCATTATGTCAAAGAGCCGCGCCCAGAAGTCCTAAAGTGGACTTCTCAGTGGGATGAAGATTGGATTGACCTCTTCAACGCTTACGGATGAAGAACAAGTCAATGTCACCGACCGACAAACAAACAGGTGTTTCTGCTCCTGAGGCCAGGGGTGTACTTACTTCTCCCTCAGAGGAACATTACATCTGCTGTGGCCCTTTTGGTACCAGTCTGCAAATCTGTGGCCCCTTTTGTTCCACTCTGGCACTCGATCAACACTGAACTCTTCGTGGCAGCTGCTGGAGCCCAAAGCGAAGGGCCATTTGTCATCCAGCAGCATCCCCAGGGTACTTAGACTTATGATTGAGTGCGTGGCGAGCAGAGGCGGGAGGAATACTTCTAAAGGCAGGGATGAAGGTAAACAAGAGGCAGCAAGTGGAGGGTTTTTTTTTTCTTCCATTTTAACATTAAGAAAACTTTCACAGTGACTACTTTGCACGAAAAAAGACAATCTAACGGAGCCCTGCAGCAGACTCGATCAACAGAAGGGATCCTTTAAAACTTGCCAGCTCTCGATTCCCACAGCGAATCTGCAACATCAGCAAAAAAAAGGCATCGCAAGCTGGTGACGAGGAGCGAAGCGAGACGAATGAATGCAACAATTCTACCTCAGTTCATAAATCAAACCCTCTGGACCACACGAGGTCATTAAAGCCATCCGCAGTTGATCATTTCTTAACTGCGGCTCGTGAGGCGCAACTTTTGCTGCTTTAAAAGAAACGGCTCCTTTGTGAAAACCACTTCTGCTGCATTGTGGCGACGCCGCGCAGTGTTTTTCCACTATGCTTGGTTAATGGTTCAGTACTGATACAGCAGCCTTATCTGTGCGAGTCCAGCCCGTTTCCAGAGGCTGCTGGGTGGATCGGTTCTGCTGCTGCTGCTGCTTTTGCTATGCGCGTCCTCTGACCTGCGTCGCTAATCGCAGCCGAAAAAAAACCCAACAACAACAACTGCATGCATCACGAGCACACCTGGGCCCAGCTGGTGCTTCCTGTTATGAGGCCGGTTTGCGATGATTCGCAGAAGAGGAAGAACCTGGACGGTGCAATTTCGAAATATAGATTAGTCATCAGTAAGAGAGGCCTGCGGAGGAGTCAGTATGGTGCCTCGGGGCTCTACCTGCTCGGCTTAATAATGGCTGAGATAGTCGAGCGGAGGGAAGAAGATAAAAGACTGGAGTGATTAAAGGGTCGGTTTGAGCCGTGCTTCTAATTCATCCCATGTTGTGTGACGGAAACATTACACAACTGCTAAGGTGGCGTCCAGGTGGGGCTGAACTCTGTCTTCACCCAACACAGGAGTGATCTGCGCTCCTCATTGATCATCTGCTCCCGAGTCTGAAAACGAAGGAGCTAATACAACACACAGGGTTCAGATGGAGTTAATGGTGCAGCAGCGCTTGTATCGCATTACAGCACACTGCAGCAGACGAGGCACAACATACGACATTAACAAGCGATATTATTTCGTTCATCAATGAATGGGAGCGCCTAATGTATTCCAAAAATAGAATGCACTTTCAGTAAGAGTTAGAAAAGGAGTATTCACTGTTGCACAATGTTTCATCCATTGACTGCACAGTCAGGGGCTTTAATTAAGAAAAACAACATTTCTTTATAAATGATGAACCAATAATCTATTCTAGAGTTCAGATTCAATCAAAAGTTTTCCACACGGCATCACCAGCCTCTGCAACATGCTCCAGAGCAGCATTTGTATGCAGGTTCTGTCCTCATAATATATACTAATTAGCACACCTTCACAGAGGAGCGAATTAATCAGTGACATCAGCTTGTGTCATTTTCATTTGTAATGAACATCTGCACACAGTTTCATCGCCAGCTGTCACCAGGCATTGACCTTATTACGGCGTCTGGATTGCTAATCCATCAGGAAGCGTCTCGTGCAGACGCGCCGTCCGGATCGGGACAGAATCAAGTTCCCACAGCGGACGCTCAAACTTTTCCTCGTTTCAGCTCAGTCATTCTCCGGTCGCGGCCTCCTCGTTCGACGGGGAACTGCTTTTCGCTGCATTTCCCTCTTTCTTCAGAGTCTTCAGGCATTTGTCAAGCCTCTTCATGCACAGCGTCACGTCTTCTCGGGTGATGCCAACAGCCGAGGCAGCGTTGAGGTAAGGACTCGGGTACGACTCCGAGTGAGACATAAACCCGCGGAATGTGTGTCCGCCGATGGTCTGCTCTTTGCCCAGTGGGATCACCCTAAAAACACAAGGATAATGTAGCACAGTGATTATGGAAGGTCTATGACAGCTTGACGTAACGACGGGGTCTGAAAAATGAAACTGAAGCGACGGTGTAATACCACTGGCAGCCACTAGGGGCTGGCTGCAAAGCATCACTGGCTCCCATTCAAAATGTGCAGAGTTTTCTCATGACAGATCAAGTAAATACATGTTGCCCACAAGTCATAATGATGCATTTAGCTTTATTTACGCCTTCTGATCAGTGTGCTGGTGGTCTCTCTGCAAATACCATCATTAAGACAGGTGTGGTTGGAGCTTGACTGACACGTCTATGAGTCTAAAGAAGGGACTGACAAGCTGTTTGGGGGAAGAAAGAGTTATTTTCTCAATGGCTTCTAATTTTAATGCACTTCATATTCATTTTTAGCGCTAGACTTTGTACATACACACAATAAATAACAAAAAGCTTATCACCAAAGAAGAGGACATAGCATCTTTGTTAATCTGACTGTTAATGTGAACAGCAGGTGCCCCTTGCTAACTAACGCTGCAGCTAGCCAGCTGGCTAGCAGTAGCGTTAGCTCATAACTTTGTTCTCCTCTCTCTCGTCCAAATGGTCACTTCTAACACCAAAAATCTAACAGCCAAAATCAAGACTTTAAAAGGGTAATCCACAAACCAAAGGGTGGCGTCGCAAAGGCTACATGCTTTACATAGTTTATAATAATAGATTTCTAATAGACTGGGAAATAATTTATTACTTTTACAATCGCGACCTCGCTAAAATGTAATTTAAAACATTTAGACTTAAAGGGAGCACTGAGAAATTATCTGTAATAAACACAGTATGCTACTCGTTCATTTAGAGTCTGACTATTTGCCTTATTTACTCAAAACAACATTGCTAATTAGAGTTTGTTTCCTAATGCTTGGTTTTACAATTCTCCATTGATTTTTCTTCTGTCCTCCAAGTCGAAAGCTCCCCCCGTAACCGTCTATTCCACTACTGAGGTAAACTTTAAAGCCGCACATACAAGCACTTTTCAGATACACATTTGTAAATATCTTGTTGGAATTTATATTCTACTGCGAATAAAGTTCTTTTAAACAGATACAACTCGTAAAACAAAAAGTCACACATCAAGATGTCACAAAACAACACTGTCGGCCATTTTTAAGTCATGGTTTTAAGTCACCTGAAGGATAAAGTCCAACATTTACTCTACTTTTAGCTCTGCTTTGGGCTCTTTAGTTGCTGAAAAACGTTCAGCCGCTAGCCGCTAGCCGCTAGCTGTGTCTTTCTGTCGTTTCATCATGAGAATAGGGTTCTAGATGTGGACAGGAAGCTGGAAAACTGGTGCACTATTGAACTGCAGTTGGTTTTAAAGCGTCGACCCCTGCAATATCGCAAACAATACATGTGTCTGTCAAATCTGGCAAAGTTTCCCCACTGTCAGCGCCGTTTAGCCTCACTTTAATGTGAAATCAATGACTGGCCAGCTAACAGGAGTATGAGAGAGAGCATTATGGTCGAGAAATGCACCATAATAAGATGTAGACCTCTATTAATCTGACTCGGAGAATAGCTCGTTGTTGATGTGGAGGAACAAAAAGGAGAAGAAAAAAAGCCAGCCCACACCCACAGCAGTCATGCTTTAGCACTGAGAACACTTCAATTAATAAAAGAGCTACAAATGATCATGATTAATGTGTGTCACTGAAGCAGAAACCTTGGAAGTCAATGTCTTTCTCATTGAGTATGCCACAGAGAGAGGAGGGTAGAAGAGTAAACTGCACTCTCTGACCTTGGAAAAATGTTCATTTGGAAGGAAGGAAGGAAGGAAGGAAGGAAGGAAGGAAGGAAGGGGCTTTTTCTTTAATGGTTTTTCTTTAATGCAATTGAGTCAATAAAATCTGAACAACACAAAACAATCCTGACAGAGTGACCCAAATAAATGATTCATCCTGGATATTTAAAATATTTAGATGGTCTTCCAACCTCCCGACAGTAAAAACAAAAAGCAAACCCCCGCCTCGAATTGAAACAAATCCTCCTTCCTGCCTCTGGGAGAGAAAACACTAGCGGCGGGAGCGAGAACATGGCCGTCTGAGGCGCGCCAGAGTTTGTGCCGGCCGTCCCAGCGGAGACAGCATCACTCTGGACTGTAATGGAAACATCTCGTTAAATTAGGAGGTGGCCCCGATAGGACGGGCCGTCTAATCTTCTAAAGTAGTTTCCGCTCGGCCGTGTTCGGCAGATCCATCAGCCTGATTGCTGATTTCCTCTGGACATTTTGTTTAGCAGAGCCGTCCCCTCATTTCTCAGACCCATTTTTGTGCTTTTGTTAACTCACCCCCGTCTCTTTGTCATTCCCCCTCTCGATCTATTTCAGGGCCACGCTTTTAAAGTTTTCCTACCTGGCTCCTGACACTTGTCGGGTGAACAGCATGGAGCCGAGCTGAGTCACCGCCTTGTCGCTCTCGGCCTGGAGGCCATCCAGAGACATGGCTGGAGGAGGGAGAAACCACACAAGAGATCTCACTGAACAACCAGCGCTGAAGAAGGTCAGAAACATGACAGTGTGGGGACCTGCTGGTCTGCAATCAGCACATCGAGCTTACCCAGCGAAATGGGGTTATGTGGGGTGTGGAGCAATCTCTCGCCGTGTGCAGAAGCCAGACTCTTCAGCTCCTGAGCCAGAAACGAATAAATCTCCTGCAAAGCCATGCACACACAGACAGAAGGCATGAAGAGACAGAACAAGAGGGAGCAGGGGCCATACACAAGAGCTATAAATAGTAGCACAATGCTCCTTTGAAACACTGCCACAGTCTTAATTTAACAGCAGCAGCCTTGGCGGTGTTGTTTTTTTTTTTTTTGCTAACCGTGCAAATCTACGCAGGTCGGTCCACGTCCAAATCCCTCCCTCCCCCCTATCTGCCAGTATCTATATGTGTTTCCCTCCTTGCTTCAGCAGCATGTTCACCTCCTGCGTCTTTGTTTGCATCACACATCCACCTCCGGGATCAATTAGAGAGGCAGGAGGGGAAGAACGCACGCTTTTAACCCGACGTCCACGTGTCTGAAATACGCTGACAGAGCGTTCACTTCAGGTTCTGTGTGGGAGACTGAACGGAGGCGAACGGGTTTCAGGACACAGATGTTACGAGCCCAGGAGCTGCTGCTGCTGCTGCACAACAACAACAACAAATGGCAGTGTTTTTGTTGCCGGCTACTAGCACCAGATTCCCCAGCGAAGCGTTGCACATTAAAGGATCTGCAACAGTGGGTGTGTTTCTCGGCATACTCTGCTGACTCATGCTTTCCCAGTTTGAAAGCATCAAGGAGGAGAAATCTTTTCTCTGTCAAGAGTCAAACAAAAACAGCGTTTCAATGATGTCAAGTGTCTCTAAGTGTCCCTTGTTCTCTAATAACAAAGGGGCAACTTTACTATCCCGGAGTGGGGGGGGAGGGGGGCAGTCGGTGGAGAGAGTGCATGGCTACGACGCTGCAGACAATACGTCGGTGTGTGTGATGAGTAAAAAAATAAAATGGGAAAAAAGGGACACACACACGTCATCCGTAGGGTCTTTTCGATATATAGACATTTTCTAAACACTGCAAATGAACCTCAACAGATGAAATGTCTGAATTATTTAAAGCCCTGGAGAGACGTGAGGGACTCTCTCGGTTTTGCAGACACTATGGAAAAACCGGTTCTGTACATTAATTATGCATATAGTGGACCAAGAGAGATCAATAAACCTTGATGGCGTCGGGTCATGCGAGGGGCCAGAGGAATTACCTCGACGTACGTTTCTGCTGCGGAGGTTTTGCACTAATTACATTTTGGGTGTGTGCGGCATCCCCGGTGTCATTTGTAGACATGAGCACCTTCGCTGTTAAATACAGAACGCCAGTAAACAACTGCTCTTTCTTTCAAAGACGTGTGCAACACTTTCCAGCCTTCGTGCGGTGAGAGCATCAAGAGAAACAGATTTAGCCTGGGTACAGCACATTTATGGTACAGCAGTTCAGAGGTGTGAGAATGCTGCAGTGCCTACCATTTAAAGAGGGGAATGCTGCATTGTGAGCAACTCTGCTTTAAAGCGGGGAGCCACCAGGGGATGTTTTCTGAAACTTCTGGATCAATTTTATCTCGCTGTAGCACACTCCTCCCTGCACAAAGCCCACCGCTCGCTCAAGTCCTCGCCCTCAGTAGGGATGCGGGTGAAGCGAAGGGCTCTGCACACGCACTCGTAACATGCCATCGACCGCAACTCAATAGCACTTATGTAACGGCTGCCATTTTTAGGGGAAAGATGTTGACACAGAACTGACCCGTGATGCATGGCTGCAGTGTTTTTATGCAAATCCGTGTTCTTATCGTGCTAATCTGAAAGCCTCCTGCAGACATCGCGCTGTAAGTAGCTATTTTTAGCCTTACAAAAGCTGATGCTCTCACCTTTCTTTCTGACAGGTACTTCTTATAGCCGCTGGCACCCAGAGTCAGAAGGGTAATGAGGACGTCAAGGGAAGGCGACGCCGACGCTCGCCCTGGACACAGAAGGCCGAGGAGAGATTTTGCTGAGTAGATTAGACTTGAGGTATGAAACAAACACTCTATATCTTAACCTATTATCAATAAAATACTACTCTGTGTTTTCTAATCAGTGAAGGTGAAGCCTTTTCTGCACGTCCAGAGCAAACCTGGTGTCAGTTTCCTCTGAGTGTGTGTGACTCCGGCTCAGAACTGGCCGGACAAAAGAGAAAATCTGAAACCGTATAGCCAGCTTAGAGGCAGGTATTGAATTTGAATACTTTTTGAGTACAAACAAAAAAAAAATGCGCCTAAAGCACAGAGTATCAAAAACTGTCAAGCATCAGAAGCTGGCAGAGAACGCTTGGTCAGATTGTCAGCTTTTTTTTTTTCCCCCTCGTCTCACTGTCATTTAGAGGATTCTCATGTTGAATGTCTTGAAATCAAATGTGGATTCAGTGACGAACACATGAGATAACTCGCAAATTCATGCGCCAATTACAACACAAATGCTTTTTCAAACCACAAGGTCAAACCTGAAGTTCGCTGCAACATGCTGCAAAAACACTTTTCCTGCCGTTGTTCAAAACCGTAACTCTGAAACAAACGAGCTGCAACCAGCAACTTGACTAGCAGGTGGAAACTAACAACCACAAGGCAGTAATTCTGCTTTAAATCACACGAAAAGAACACCACAAAACATTCAGTCGGATTCTAGCGCTCTGTCGCTATCAGACATATTAAAAAAAATCACATCAGATTCACTCTGTGTTCCTTCGCTGGGACAAACGCGTCACTGTTGTTGACTCTGAATCCGGCGTCCTGAAGCTGTGAAACCTCACAGCAAATCTGCTCCAGAAAATGAAACGCCACAGAAATTTAATAAGATTCCTGTTTGACAAGGCAGGCAAGTGTCGCAGCATCGAAAAGCTGGTTTTGGTATAAAGAACTGTCAGCTTTATCCTTTAAATTTTCCTCATCCTGTACAATTGGTGCACTCGAATATCCCTATAAAGTGTGCCAGAGAGAGATTGAGAAGGATTTTGCAAGCCTGCCTGCTTTTTCTGGCCATACTGACCCACAATCCTCTGTCACGGTGTGGTAAGAAACAAGTTTATTTATGCCACCGGGTTGCAAGTTGAAAGGCACAACAGTATGGCAAAATAGTGAGTCCCAGTTGGATGCATATCACATTAAACAGTCTGTATTTTGTCAGTTGTAGGACTTAAAGCGAAAAGAAAAACTATGTGGAGTATATTTTCTATTTTATTATCATTAATTTACAGGAACATGTGCACACGTCTCTTCACACAGCTCGGCCTCAGTATTGTTGACACTCACCAGGGTACATCCTGCTGATCTCTTGTACGAACGACTCATCGAAGCCTGCGATTATGGCGCCACCTACTGGAACCATGAAGTTCTTGTCCAAGCTCTGCACAAAGGCATCGATTCTTCCCACGCGAGCCCCCTGACGAAAGACAAGAGAAGCTGTGAGCAACCTCCCAATCTGTCACCAGCAAGAAACACGAAGGTGACTGTAAATCTTTTTCTTTTTCTTTTTCCTGCAACTGCCAGAAAAGCACTTAAGGAAGTATGAGATGGAATCTGGGGTGAGTGGCGGCTACCTGTTGGATGAGGTGCATGCATTTGGACGACTGCACTCCGTACGCATTGTTGACGATGTGGGGAATGTTGTGTTTGGCACACACAGCGGCCAGCTCTTCAAGCCTGCAAGACAGTCCAACAAATACACCTTCAGAATGCTGCACACTGTATTTACACACTGGAGGCCAAAGTGAGCAGCTTACATCCTCTTTATTTTGAAAAAAAAATGACAGGTAAGTAGTTGAAATCAAAGCCGCTGATGAAAATGACATGTAAAAACAGCTGAATACAAGCTTGTGCCACCTGTCAGGGACCCGCGGGGCGAAGCAGGACGTCGTCGAGTGAACGCACAGGACGTTGTCGGCTCCGAGCTCCTCGATCTTGCGTTCGACTGCTTCCACGTCGGTCCGCAACTCATCGCCCTCGAGAACGTTCTCCACGACGACAGGTTCAAAGCCTGACAAAACAGTTGTGTCTATGAGGAAGGAGCACATTTCTGACCAGCGCTCAAGTGAACACAAGTGAAAAGATTCAGTCTTTACAAGGGACCGGCTGATCATCAGCCTGGTCGACTATCGGCATCTGTAAATGATTTTAATAAATTAAATGCACTACTAGCACTGTTGCCTCGCAGCAAGAAGGTTGCCGGTTCGCGTCCCGGTGGGGGCACCGGAATCTTTCTGC